GTTGTGTATATTTATTATGTATATATAAATACACACACATGCATGTATATATTTAAAGAGCAGGTCATATGTTTTTTTAAAGTGTCCTAAAGAGTAATTTGTCCAAGATTTCGAAACGGTTCGTTCGATTCAGTTCTGAGCGAAATGTCTGTAAACCCCTCCCTTTGTTTAACACTTATGCAAGCTAATCGTGCCCACAGCTAAAGTTTAGCTGCTAAACTTTAAATACTTAACAAAACAATAATGGTGGATACGTTAGCCGAGTGTACAATACAGTTTGAAAACCAAAACATGTCTACTGTAATGTCTGAAGAACGACAGGCAAAAGACACTCCGTCTTAACTTTTAATTATAAATCAGAACAGCTGTATCACATGCGCACCAGCCTAACTAACTAGTCTCTCTCTACCGGGTCTTTTACTCTCTACATTAACCCTATAACTACATAACATTAGCACAAAAAAAATTGATATTTTGAGCACTCAATTGAAAATTGACACATAACGTATCAATCGTACTTACAGGTTGTGGTTCGGAGACGCTTGTTGGTCTAAATAAAGAAGATTAGAAGCCAACGAAGATAAAAGGCAATATTAGAGAAGCAGTCCTCGGTAAAATGATGAGCACAACAAAAGGTTCGAATTGTATTGCTGTGGTATCGTGGAAAACAGCATCTTCTCGACACAAAGAGTGTACGTATTTCATGGGCAGGCGGGGATTATTCTAATGTATTACCCAGTGACATAGATCGGTAACAGGCAGAAGATTCGAAAATATAAGGACTCGTTAAGGCGATTCTGAGTCGACTCTTTCTTTTGAGAGACAATATCTTTATTTATCATGCACTTTTTTGATTAACAACTTTGCAGACTGTTTACATTGAAGGATAGCTACCTTACAAACTGCAAAAGAGATATTTTTCGAAAACCCATATGACCTGCTCTTTAAGAAAAATTGTTTATATATGAAATATATTTATATATAATATTAATTATATGAATATAAATATACACATGTAAATATTTTCAAAATATATACAGTATGTGTGTGCCTTTATATGTACATAATAAATATACACCGTACACACACACACATATTATGTAAACACAAACTTTTATTTTGGATGCGATTAATCGCTTGACAGAACTAGAATGGAGTAAATTTATTCATTTGATTACAGCAAAACACATTCATTTTATAGCCAAATTACAACCAAACTGCTCTTTATATATCACATCAGCCATATTAATTAGGGGTGGTCCGATCAGGATTTTTGAGGCCGATCACTGATCACAGAAAGCAGTATCTGCCGATACGATCACCGATACTGATCTTTTTAATGCCTTCTTTTTATCATGTAGAATTATTTATAGTGATGATCCAATCAAGATTTTTAGATGTTTATTCAAGGTAGGGAATGTTCATTTCGGTTATTTTTCCTAACCGACAACCAACGTTCGTTAACCGACAAGATTATTTAAAATTAGAATTGAATTCAATTAGAAAGGATAAGTGTCTGTGACCGGTTAAAAATACTAACATATTTGTTTCCCGGGGATTAATTTTACATGCGCAAAAAGCAGCAAACAACAGAACATGAGGATTCACATGGTCTTCATATCACATCACGCACCTTTAAAAGGAGTAGTTGCTTCCACTGTTAGAAGGAACAAATTCAAGTGATTACGCCGGCACCGCTTTGCTACCTTGACAATGCAGCCTGTTCATTATTATAATAAAATACAGTCAGTCAAAAATATGGATTTGAAGCCATTTGTGCATTTTGAGAGAGAGAGAGCGTGCGCTGTGATTCACTCACGCTGTTTGTGAAATTGTCTCGCAGTAAGTTTTCAAATGACTTTATATGTTATTTAATTAAGAAATATGAACTGTACCTCACCTTCAGCATTATAATTATTTCACCTGCGCCGGACAGAGACTGAGGCGCGTCATCAGCTTGAGATCGGTTTATGAGATCCACTTTTATAGAGACCGCCGATCAAACATCCCAAAGCGATTATCGGCCGATAGCGATCGGTAGCCGATCAATTGGAGCACCCCTAATATTAAAGGGCTAGTTCACCCAAAAATGAAAATTAGCCCATAAATTACTCACCCTCAAGGCATCCTAGGTGTATATGACTTTCTTCTTTCAGACGAATCCAGTCGGAGTTATATAAAAAATTGTCTTTGATCTTTCAAGCTGTTTAATGGCAGTCAGCGGGTGTTGCATGCATCAGTCCAAAAGAAGTTAAATAAAAAGCGCCCACCCATAATAAAAAGTGTCTCACACGGCTCCGGGGGGTGAACAAAGGCCTCCTGTAGCGAATCGATGCGTTTTTGTAAGAAAAATATCCATATTTAAAATGTAATAATCAATTTAATCTAGCTTGCGCTCACTATTGTACATGGAAGTAGTTCCGGACGGATGATGTAGGATGTCGGCGTTGCGCATGCGCCGCTCAGAAGTGACGAACGCGGAAGCGCAGCAGAGAGATCAAAACAAAACAATGGTCACTTATTAGAAGTACAAAACGAGGATTTGTAAAGAAGAATGTTGGAGGATTTCGATATAAGCCAAGAGGAGACTGGTTTTCCTTTGCTAAAGTAAGGAAACTTTGCTTCCTTTGCTCCTGTCAGCACATTAAAGTGATTATTACGTCTTGAATATGGATATTTTTCTTACAAAAGCGCATCGATTCGCTACAGGAGGCCTTTGTTCACCCCCCGGAGCCGTGAGAGACACTTTTTTTTATGGATGGGCGCTTTTTATTTCACTTCTTTTGGACTGAAGCACTGCAACACCCGCTGACTGCCATTAAACAGCTTGAAAGATCAAAGACCATTTTTAATATAACTCCGACTGGATTCATCTGAAAGAAGTAAGTCATATACACCTAAGATTCCTTGAGGGTGAGTAATTTATGGGCTAATTTCCATTTTTGGGTGAACTAACCCTTTAATCAACCAGTAGTCTTGAACTTACTACGGTTTCGGTCTCTGTAGTAATTTGAAGTTCATTGTCTTCAATTCAGTGTTCAAGGACACAATGAGTTCATTGCTGGTAACTGCAAGCTTGAATCCCCTTAAGGCCATAGCACTGAACCTTAACTACTACACCACACCACCAGAAATGAAATTTCACTGTCGAGGACCTGAACCTCAGTTGTCTATGTGGCAAGGGGACTACTGTCCATGATTCAAGTGTGAGGCGACTGTTCAAATTGTTCAAGAATGCCATTCTTCTGGGATGATGCATTGTGGATGATGCTGATGGACACTGGGAGAAGGTCGAGACTGATGTTGGTGCATTTTTGCAGTCCAGACCAGTCAATCAACACGCATCCAAACACTGGCTCTGTATGAATGAGTGTGTGTGCAGTCTTGGAGCTCTTATGAAAAAATCCCCACGCTCAAGCGTTGCTGAAGAGATTTCACACTTCAGCAATGCAGCCATTTTCTGAGCTACATTAAACACACATCCACAGAGAGGGCCAGATTTACTCAGTCTCAGTACATTAGAGATCAGATCAGCAAGGGAACAAGAAAATAGAAAGTATGGACAAAGAAAGAGAAAGTGTGTGCCACTTGCCACCAGAGTGGTTGCTAGGATGCCATTGTTTTTTGTTTTGTTTGGTTTTGTTTCTGTTTTTTTGTCTTGTTTTTTTGGTGTTTTGATTTGTTTGGTTTGGTTTGTTTTTGTTTGGTTTGGTTTTGTTTGTTTTGATATGATTTTGGTGTTTTTCAAAATTGTTATGCTGTATCACTTTACATGACACAGTTTAATTTAATTCAGTGATTTGTTCAAATGTAAGTGGCTGGTAAAATATAGTTGCCTTCCAGAATGTCAGATTTGCCAGCAGATATCCTGTAGTTAGAGCAATTCGGTTGTATTTAGGAGAATTTGAGTGTAGTTTGAAGTTAATTATTTCTCTGGATGTTAGTGTAGATGGGATGACATTGACTTTGGCCAGTCAAACAGCTGACACCTTATTCTTCAGAAATAATTCTAATATGCTGATTTGCTGCTCAAGAAACATTTCTGGTTATTATCAATGTTGAAAACAGTTGCGTTGTGTAATATGTTTGTGAAAACAGTGATAATTTTTTTTCAGGATTATTGATGAATAAAACTTTTAAAATAACAGCATTTGTTTGAAATCAACATTATGCAACTCTTTACTGTCACTATTGATCAATTGAATGCATCCTTGCTGAATAAGTGTTAATTTCTTTAATAAAATCTTACTGACCACAAGCAAGTGTATTTTGAAGTTGACACGCATTGCTCATGGTGTGAGACACTGTAAAAAATATTAAGGTGCAATGAAACCGCTAAAGGCACCTTTTGACTTGTGTAAATGGACCAACACCTCAAACAATAGTGCAGACATAAGTGCAAAAGTGCTCTTCTGTCTAAACGTTCTTCTCACATGCCCTCGCATTGCTGTTTCTGTGAAGGATTTTGTTGAAAATGTCACATTTAATTGACCATTCACAGCATTTTAAATCAAAATATGAGAAGAGCAACAACTGCTTACTGAAGGAATAATTGTATGCAGTCTTAGTTATCTATAGGTGGTGCTATTGCTCTGTCCATGAGTCTGTAGATGAGCCAGCATCTGGTATGTGGCTGGTGTTTTGCTTCTGGTAATAATGGCATCCTCTCTGCTGCAATAAGAATCCACAGAGCCTGTAAAGGCACACAAGTCTGTGAGAGATGTCACTTCTTGTATTGCATTCAGAGGAGATGAAATTAGACATTTTAAAGGCTGAAATAATGTAAAATGACATTAGAAATACAATGCTGTTTGATATTTTGCCGTGTAAGTCACATGACGTTGCAGTCACACACAGTTCATCTACATTACACTGTACTGCTCACAGAAGTACTGCAGGTTAATTAGTGTGATTTAGTGTGTGGTCATAAGTCTGGCTCTAGGATCTCTTAGGCATGTTGGGAATAGAAAAGTAAAATTCTGATTGCTACATACTGCATAATATACAGCATACAGTATATGTTTTGTGTGTGTAATTCAATCAGTAGTGTCATGTTGTCGTCTCAAAATGGACTCTTTAGCATGTTTATCCAATTTTGATGATTCAAAAGATTTTTGAACAGATTAGATATGAAGTTGAAATGTGTGGCTTTGGAAATTAAAGGTCAAGTCAAGCATAGCTGAAAGAATAATTGAATTAGCCTCTGGAACTGGACTGTTGCTCAGTGGTCCAGATGAAAGTAAACTTTGCATTTCATTTGGAAATCAAGGTGTGAAGTCTTGAGGAAGACTGGAGAGGCACAGAATCCAAGCTGCTTGAAGTCCAGTGTGAAGTTTCCGAGGTCAGTGATGATTTGGGGTGCTGTGACGTCTGCTGGTGTTGCTCCATTGTGTTTCATCAAGTCCAAAGTCAATGCAGCCGTCTACCAGGAGATTTTGGAGCACTTTATGCTTCCATCTGCTGACAAGCTTTATGGAGATACTGATTTCCTTTTCCTGCAGGACTTTAGCACCTGCCCACAGTGTCAAAACCACTTCCAAGTGCTTTGCTGACCATGATATTACTGTGCTTGATTGGCCAGCCAACATGCCTGACCTGAACCCCATAGAGAATCTATTTTTGACTTTCATGAGCTGTAAGCTCTAATCATCAAAATTAAAACAAAACAAAACTTTTGAAATGTTTTACTTTTCATGTAATGAATCTAGAATATATGAAAGTTTCACTTTTTGAATTAAGCTACAAAAAAGTGAACTTTTTCACGATATTCTAATTTCTGAGATGCACCTCCATATGTATTTTTTTTAATGCTTAGATTAAATTGATCAAAAGTGACATTAAAGATATTCACCAGTATGACTTGTTTTTCATAAAAATGTTGAGCAGCACACCTGCACTAAAATGAATAATAATCAGAAATGTTTACTGAGCAGCAAATCATCATATTAGACTGATTTCTGAAAGATCGTGTGACACTGAAGACTGGAGTAATGATGCTGAAAACACAGCTTTGATCACAGCAATAAATTACATTCTACAATATATTCACATAGAAAATAGCTGTTTTAATTTGTAATATTTCACTTTTTTTTTTTTTTTATCAAATAAATGAATTCCGTTATTTACTAAACTATACAGACCCCAAGACTTTAAACTGTGGTGTATATCTATACTGCAGAAATAGCACAAGGTCTGTCATTGTTCCTCTGTTGTAATCTGTCTGCTGAGGTAAAGCTGCAGGTTCATCAGGCTTTGCTCCAGAAGCCCCTGCTGGTGTCCGGTGGGTTTGTGAGCTGCAGGCAGGGGGCAGCAGTGATCCACAGCAAACGTTAAAGGCGTTGATCAGTGTGTAAAAGGACAGGTTTTCATGTGGTCTGATATCTGTCACATCCTCCTACACGCCTGGAGGCTCTACGCAAACTCCATTCATCATGTTACACACTCTAACACTGGTGTGTGTGTGTGTGTGTGTTCTCTGTGTGTTTCAGATCAGCTGTTTCATGTGCTGGCCATGCACATGCGTCTCTACAGCATAGATTCAGCGTACAACCCCTGGACCAGACTCACACAGAGCACGCACAGCAGAGACACTGAGTGAGTACACACACACAATCACATTTCCTCAACTGAGATGCTTTATAAAATGATAAATTGCACTACTCATAATCCTCAACAGAGATCCAGCGATCAGAGACGTTACTGTAATTATGGAAATTAAATTGTTGGCAAAAGAACTTCCTACTCCCACAATGAAGGAATTCTTTTTTTTTTTTTTTTTTAAAGAATGTTTTTTAATGTTTTCAACATTGATAATAATCAGAAATGTTTCTTGAGCAGCAAATCAGCATATTAGAATGATTTCTGTAGATCATGTGACACTGAAGACTGCAATAATGATGCTGAAAATACAGCTTTGATCACAGTAATAAATTACATTTTAAAATACATTTTAAATTATATATATATATATATAATAGGGGTGTAACGGTTCACAAAATTCACGGTTCGGTTCGATACGACACAGTGGTGATTTTTGACTATCTCTGGCTATCGTCGATACAAGATCATCGTCTTTAGACGCATCCCATATATATATATATATATATATAAACTATGTAAATCAAATTATATTCAAATCAGTCTAAAAAACATGTTGACATTTCAACATTCAAAGATACACATGCACAAAAGTGTTTTGTTGTATTTGGTATTTTATTTAAAAGAAAAAAATGAATAAAAAACAGAAGGCAGAAGGTTCTGCTTTCACTTGCTTTTTATGCTGTGTCTCTGCTGCTGCATCTTTTTGAGAGGGAGAGAGACTTGCGCAAATGGGGTTTCCATAGATACCAATAACTGCTGCATCTGGCAAATTATGGTGTGCAGCACTACATTTCATGAGTGCGGCGCTTTATTTTGAGGGTTTATGGCTGTGTGGAGGTTACCGCTCACCACGTCTCCTGTTTAAAAGGCACTTAACACTCTCGGGCTGCTTAAATGGCCTCATTTCTCCTGCGCTGGGGCTGTAAGACAGGGTTTTCACCTGTGCGTCTCTTAGGACTGTTCAGAGGGGAGGCAGCTGTGCCTATAAATACCTTGTTAGAGGCTTTTGAAGGAAAACTCTGTGACTGGACCCCTCAGGCACTTTAGCCGAGCTATTAATACATCCATTTGAATAAAACCACTGCCTGTAATCACTTATCAAGCACAAAAGACAATGTGTTTTTCTTATCTGAGAGGTAGAATTTGGACAGTAAAGTCGTTCTTTATATGTTGGGATGTCATTGCTTTATTCTGGATGCAGTGTTTTGAAGTATCATCTGCATTCAAATGCTGCACAAGCTTTTTGCTCAATGTCTTTTAGTCAGCTGGTGTTTTTAGGTGGATGTATAAAGTGTCCTCAAGTGTAAGTAACCACAGATACAGTGAATCAAATGAACTGTAAATATAATCCATTAAATTGGCAAATCAGAAAATGTCAGAATAGTTTACTTATAACTTTTGAAATGTTAAGAAAGTGTGCTGTGTGTTTGAGTGTTGGTGAATTCTGCTCTAATGGACAGCAGTTTGTCCCACACACTCGAATATTTTTAGAATAATATTTTCTTTTTGCATTTTAATTGCAGTCTTGTGTTTATGTAACCTGTCCACCTACTGCACATTTACAGTGAAACTCTATTGAAAGAACTTGAAGCCTTGTGAATATTCACCCACAGGAAATAGTCCTTTTCTTACATGATTTAATTTGTGCGGTTTCATGGGCAAGATAGACGTGAAAGTGTTGTCTGTAGATCACGTGCATCATGCATCCAAGTTAAAAAATGCTGTGTGTACTGTAGATGATGTTTTTGTGTTTTAAGTCTGCTTTTTTTTTTTTTGGTGGCGGTCATGTTTTCTGTGTTTCTGAAGCACTGAGTGTTGTATTGTGGTATAATTGTGTGTGTGTTTTGTGCAGGTACTGTGATGATGAACGTCCTGAGGTGCCCATGCTCTTCAGAGACGTCCCGTCCCTCCTCATCATCTTCATCCTTACCATGCCTCAGCCTTTACGCAGAGGTAACACACGCATACATATCACAAATACTATTCATGTTTTAATAGCAGATATATTGTTAATGATAAAAATGTGATTTAGAAAAAGTAAAAATTAAATCCAAACCAATCAATCATTCCCCTGACCTGTAGATAAACTCTATAATAAAAGGTTTTTCTTCCATCATGTCAGTTTCAATTTGAAGTACAACCTTTTCACAGCAAAACACAATAGCCAAAATTCTCAGATTGAGCTGCTCAGATTTTTAGACAATTGAATGAAACAATTTGAAGTTTACAAGTAATTCAGTAATTGCTAAATACAAGAATGCAGGATGTCTTAAATGAGAAATAGCCAGTTGTCAAAGTCAGTCACTTCAGTAACAATGTTGAGAAACAGGCTGTGGCTTTAATTTCAATTAGTAATGTCTCTAATTTTCAGGCTGAATTACTGTATTGTGATGTTGCTCCTTACTGTGGTAGAGAATTACTGCAATTAATTAACTTGTGGTTAAGATATTTGTTGAAAAGGATTTATGTTGTGATAAAGATTTTGGTTAAAAATGACTTGCATCGTGATTGAAAATTGCATCATGGTAAAGATTTTGATTGAGAATTTCTTAAATCAGGGGTTCCCAAACTTTGCCATTCCACAAAATAATTGTGAAATGATTGTAAAAAAAATAATAAACACAATGCGTCTCATTTTAAATAAACACTAAAAACCGAGGTGACAAATTTACTTCAGTCAGAAATTTAATTTTGCAATGGTTAAATAAATGTTCAGCAATATCGTCAAAAGATTTTTGAACTTTGGCACATTTTTTCTCTATATAGAGATGATATGGCAAGGAAATAATACATAATTTTGTACATTTTGTTATGCTAGCGTGTGGAAATGTTTAAATCTTGTAGTGTTACAATTAACCCCGTGTCTGTGCCCCGCTCACCCCGTTTCCTTATTGTTTGGTAGCCAAATGCAAATGAAGGAACTAAAACAGCACCGAGTTCAAACAGACGATAGAAATGAATAGACATACCTGAAACAGTTTCGTAACATTTGAATTTTCCGGTGTATGCAATCTCATGCAGAATACAGCGCAGTGAAGTGAGCGAGTTTCTTCTCATTAATAAAGCGGACCGATCGAGCCCTTTAATAACGGCGTCGCTCTGAGACCCTCACTCACTGTTATTACAACTCGTGTACTTATATTAATAGAATATTGCAATTAGTAATTAATGTTGGTATATCGTGCAGTCCTAGACTGAACTGTGTGAGTGTGAGTGTGTGTGTGTGTCATTGAAACGCAAATTTAGCTGCAGCCAAGTGACTTTGTACAACCTACCTTGTCCCACTCTGCGACCCACAGTTTGAAAACCCCCGACTTAAATCAAGGTAATTACTTTGGTTGAATTGGACTTAAATCATGGTAAAGTCCATGAGAACTTCTTGAAAAAAATCTGCCATGAGGCACAGGGCCAACCAACAGAAAACACATGAGGGGAAATCACCATGATCCACTATATGTGCCATTTACAGCAACAACAAAAAAATCTTCCTCTTTCCCTTCACATGAGTTTAGTCTTTAGATGGGCCATGACTGTCATTTGGTTGATCACTGGTCATTGATTGGCACTCAAATAAGAATAGAGTGTTTTGTCATTGTGAGCATGGGATCGATTCGAGTCCATCATTCTGAAGACTCAAGACAATAAAGCTTGTATTAGAACAGAAACGAGTTCTGCATGTGTTAGAGAATAGATTAGTGCTTTCACAAAGGTGTCATTGTCTCTGGTGAGGAATGTTAATGGAGTGTCATTGTGTGTGTGTGTGTGTGTGTGTGTGTCTTTCTCATCACACAACCGGGCCTAACACCTGCTACATGCACACAAGTGCTAATTACCCTCTCCAAAAAAAATCAGATGTCCTTTTTCTGTACACAGTCACGTAATTGATTTTTGTGTCCTAACAAAAGACCTGTGATTCTCTTGAAAGCTCTGGGGTCTATAGAGCTCTTTGAGTGAGTGTCTCTCTGTGCATCTTGTTATTGGTGCTTTTATTCAAGGATATAACCAACATTTTTACATTTGGGGAGGCCAAAGTAAAAGCTTAAGAACCTGCTGTATATATATAGCAGGTGATGATTTGTGATAAATAATCCATTAAAAATATTCTACTGTTTCAAGGCCTTAGGTCACATTTAATTTTCACGTCTTTTGTTTTGTAGTGCATGCGTGTGTGCTTGTGTGTGTGTGTGTGTGTGTGTGTGCGTGCGTGTGTATGCACTGCAAATATATTGAGCAATGCATTTTGAATGTACACTATTTTAAATTAATACTTTTGATCAGGGGTGCAATACATTGATTATAAGTGGCAAAGACATTTATAATTTTACAAAAGATTTCGATTTCAAGTACTGTTCTTATGTTTCAATGATTTCTGAAGGATCATGTGACACTGAAGACTAGAGTAGTGATGCTGAAAATTCAGCTTTGAATCTCAGAAATAAATTACATTTTAAAATATTTTAATATTAATGCAATTTAAAATATATTTGAATAGAAAACAGCTATTCTGAATGCCAATAAAGTTTCACAGTATTGCTGTTTTACTGTATTTTTGATCAAATAAATGTAGCCCTGGTTAGACTTTTCAAAAACATGAAAAAACATTTACAGACCCCAAACTTTTGAGCAGTAGTATATTGTTGGTAAAATGTACACAAGGGTATGACTTACAGGATATATTTCAGTATCTGTCAAACATTAAATGTGCTGTCTGCTTTGGCTGAGATTGCACAAGACTTTATATTAAACAAAGTACAGCTCTTGCAGATAAATTAGATTGTGGTGTAGGTTAAAAACATTAAGTTCATAAAGTTACACAAAGAACTTCCAAACATTGGTATAAAAAATGATAATACTATTCCTACTGCTTGAACTGTAGAGCCAATGCAACCGCAAGGTCATGGGTTCAGATCAAAATGCGCACGCTGCTTTTACAAGCTATTTAAAAGGAAGGAAAGTGAGGAAAAGAGGGAATGCCCCCGCCCCCGCGGTGATACCGTTATTACCGGTGTTGTCACACGTCTATTAACCGGCGGGAAAATTTCCTCACCGTCACAACCCTAGTATATATGCGTTAGGCTAACCCGAGACTTGTCATAGCACTTGCATATTATTGCCCTTTTGTTGATTTTGATTGCTTCTGTTGTCCTCATTTGTAAGTCGCTTTGGGTAAAAGCATCTGCTAAATGACTAAATGTAAACATAGGCTACTACATCTGGTGTTAACCATGATATCATATGATAGCCATGCTGTGTGTGTTTGTGTGCAGAGCACTTTACGTGTGTGGTGAAGGTGCTGTACAGTCTGCAGTACACACAGGCTCTGGCCGCTCTGTCCATCAGATTCAGTCGTGAGGAGAGACTCGCCTGGAGCAACACTGCAACTGCCAAGAAGGTGCCGCAAATTACCGATCAAAAAACTTTCTCAGACTTACTTCAGCCAGTTATAGCAAAGGATGTGTGTTAGAATAGTTTCTTGAAGTTCTGCTTTGTGGAACAACAATATAAATTGGTTCACAATTGGCGCCTTAATGTAGATCCAGTTGATGTTTGGTCATTGGTGTGTATATTTGTATTGTTTATTATTCAAAGGCTCAATGTGGCTCATCCAGTCAGACTTCAAAGCTGGAACTATCCATTTTATGATGATTAAATTGCACATTAAAACCCTTGAGGATAAGCTAATTTTATTAAGAGAAGGAATGTGTTATTGGCCCTCAGTGCTGTTTGTTTAAGGGGGTGATCGTAATAATGTTCAGATAACCCAGAGTGAGGAAATCCTTCAGATAAATCTCACTCCGAGGTTTTCACTAGCACAGAAGAGATCATTAGCAATGGTTCTGCACTCCATTAAATGACTCTTTTTGAGGCTTTGTGGGAAATAAATGGAGTAATGTGAAGAGTTTCATCATGTCATCAGTCAGACTGCTTTAATTCCACATTATAGAGTCACACGACATCCCTCTCTCTGCCTGAAATTTCCATTGCTTTTGCAATTTGCCGACATTTAAAATAACACATGGAATGTGTTTCAAAACTTAGCAAGCTGCCTTCCTAGACAGCATTATAGGTGCATTCAGATGTTTAAAAAAAATGTTGTTTAAATTCAAATGCTCAGTTTCATCTGTGATGGCCAACAATGGTGTCTAGGTAGTCATGCTCACTAGGATTTGAAATTCAGTCCAGTTGGTACAATAACAGTGATTCCAGTTAGGGAAAGCACTAAAGGTTTTTCAGTTAGTGTTTTCAGCTTGTTTATTTTCATATAAAAATACGGCATGCAGTTGCATCAAACAATGGTATAAACATCATTCAATGTAAATTGTGATAATCGTAATTAATAATCGCAATTACAATTTCAAGGGAATAATCGACAATTATGATTTTTGTCATAATCGTGCAGCCCTAATTTCAGTCTGATGGGAGAGTAATTTAAAACATTGTTTTTTTTTCATTCATGCAATTTCACTCGCAGAACACGCCAAACTCTGACAAATCATGGGAGTCGCTCCTGGGTCATGTGATCTCTGAGCTGACGAAGGCCAAAGATGTGTATGACACCAACTCTGAGGAAACATTCGTGGTGAGTCACAGCACAACAGAACAGTTTTATCACACCGTTATATAGGAGTCTTTTTCTAGTTTTGCAATTATTAATTCATTTATATGCATTGCAATGATGAGTTGACCTAACAAAACATGCTGATAATTTGATTTGCCTTTGATTAATCTTACAAAGTACATTTACTGGAGAAAAAAAATGATGCTCATGTCATTGACTTCATTAGCAGTTATAATGAGAATATGTAGTGCAACAACAGTGGGTTTTTTTTTTTTTTTTTATATATATGAAGAAAAGACACTTATCCAAGGGACCCATTGTTGAGCTTGCCTTGCAAACATGTCATGAAACACATCTTTTCACTTTCCTAGACTAGTCTTTTTCTAGTCAGATCTTTTTTTTTTTTTGCATCTCAAATCAGGATACATTACAATAAAACTAAATTGGTACTTGGAACTTTACACTTTACAAATGTAAAATCATTAAATCGGTTATGTTTATGTGCAAGGACTATGTATGTGTGTTCACTATTGTTCAAAAGTTTGGGGTCAGTAAGATTTATTTTATTGTCTGTTTTTCTTGCCAAGGCTGCATTTATTTGATCAAAAATACAGTAAAAACAGTTATATTATGAAATATTATTACAATACAAAATAACTGTTTTCTGTTTGAATATATACTAAAATGTAATATATTCTTGTGATGGCGAAGCTGAATTTTCAGCAGCCATTACTCCTCTCTTTTACTCCATATTTATTTATTTTTTAGATTGAAAAGAACATCATTTATTCTAAACATATTTTTGTAACAATGTAAAAGTGCCGTTACTTTTGATCAAATAAATGCAATCTTGCTGAATAAAAGTATCCATTTCTTTTCAAATAACTTCGAATTTCATAATGGTTTTTATATAAAATTCCTAAAGTTTTATGACAGCCAGCCAAAGAAGAGTCATTCTCTATTCTAGAGGAATATGGAGCTCACTGTTATTTGAGCCTGAAGCTTGTTCTGATCTCTGAGGAAGCGGCTTTATCAGCAGGGAATGAGCTGTTATTAATGGTGTCTTCTCTCTGTAGTTGAGCTCCAGTGTGTGGTCTCCTCAGTCCATTGAGTTCAGCCTACAGCACTTCTGTCTGCCCTTCCTGAGACTGTCCTGTTTACTGCAGCACCACCTGTATGGAGACAGCTTACCCGGCTGCCTGGTACACACACACTAACACACATTTCATCTGCTGTCTAAATGAAGACGGATTTTCACATAGTTGACAGACTGCCGCTGTCTGTGGTCACAGGTGGAGGAGGAGTTCTCTCTGCTGGCCGGGTGTCTGGGTTTGGCTGGTTCTGTTCAGTCCAGTGCAGCGTGTCTGGAGTGGAACCTCAATGCTTTCGATCTGATCAGTCAGTGGTGTTCAGAAGTCATCGCTCGGTCCGATACTCCCACTCAGCAGTCTGTGGTCTGTATTTGTGTCTCCTGCTAACACCAGTGATTTAATCAGTCGTTGTCTTTAATACGGTTAACCACTGTGACCTAACCAAGCATGACCTGTGACAGTAAGCATCATATTTGATAAAGCAATAAACCCCAAGAAGCCGTGGTTTACAGTGAATTTATAACAGCTAAGGGGTGTTGTTAGGTACGACGCGAAGCGGAGTGACTAAAACCCCCTTAGCTGTTATAAATTCACTGTAAACCACAGCTTCACG